TCATCAAAAAACATCTCTCAACTCGCTCTGCCACTATGAATAAGTTTTCCTGTCCTTGTTTCCTCCTGCTTTGTGCTGCAGGTGTTGTCTGCCTGCAACCAGAAAGGCTACACTAGCTTTTTACAACTAGCTGTCATGTGTGGATTCTCATGTGAGAGTTTAAATGACCCTTCTGGCTAAATCTGTGTCCACAGTCTTCACATACAAAGGGTTTCTGTCCTGTGTGGACTCCCATGTGAGAGTTTAAGCTAGACTTACGGCTAAATCCTTGACCACAGTCCCCACATACAAATGGTTTCTGTCCTGTGTGGACTCTCATGTGAGAGTTTAAATTACCCTTCTGGTTAAATCTATGTCCACAGTCCTCACATACAAAGGGTTTCTGTCCTGTGTGGACTCCCATGTGAGAGTTTAAGCTAGACTTACAGCTAAATCCTTGACCACAGTCCCCACATACAAATGGTTTCTCTCCTGTGTGGACTCTCATGTGTCTTTTTAAACTACTCTTCACGCTAAATCTGTGTCCACAGTCCTCACATACAAATTGTTTCTGTTCTGTGTGGATACTCATATGAGAGCTTAAAGTAGCCTTACGACTGAATCCTTGTCCACAGTCCTCACACACAAACGGTTTCTCTCCTGTGTGGACTCTCATGTGTGAGTTTAAATTAACCTTATGGCTAAATCTGTGTCCACAGTCCTCACACACAAATGGTTTCTCTCCTGTGTGGACTCTCATGTGTCTGTTTAAACTACTCTTAACGCTAAATCTGTGTCCACAGTCCTCACATACAAATTGTTTCTGTTCTGTGTGGATACTCATATGAGAGTTTAAAGTAGCCTTACGACTGAATCCTTGTCCACAGTCCTCACACACAAACGGTTTCTCTCCTGTGTGGACTCTCATGTGTGAGTTTAAATTAACCTTATGGCTAAATCTGTGTCCACAGTCCTCACATACAAATGGTTTCTGTCCTGTGTGGACTCTCATGTGTCTGTTTAAATTGGTCTTCTTGCTAAATCTGTGTCCACAGTCCTCACATACAAATTGTTTCTGTTCTGTGTGGATACTCATATG